TGTGCTGGCTGAAACTTATGTCAATACACCCCCTGGTGATTGTGATGGATGGCTCCAATACATTCTCAACAAAAACAGTAAGTACTTTCTTTTCTTATCATTCATTCAACACTGACTCATTCTTTCTTAATTCTCTTTACCTTCAAGATCAACTTTGAATTATTATCGATTACATCCATACACACTGATACAAATGTCTCTGTTAGCTGTCTGATCTTAAATAAAAAACTATTAAATCTTTAAATAAAATGTTGTAGCTGTCTGATATTAATTAAAAAAACTATTAAAGCTTTATATAAAATTAAAAAAACTATTAAAGCTTTATATAAAATATACTATCAACTACATTTGTATTTATACATGCTGATACAAGTGTAGTGTAGTGGCTGTGACTGTCTGGTTTGTTAGTGATTGCAATGTTAACCTATGTATGTGTTTTTAATTCATATGAACTGATCATGAATTGAGAGGAACTTTTATTGAACAAACAAGAACAAAAGGTTTGATTAATAAATGTAAGATAAAAATACTTCTAAGTGTAAGTGAGACTTGTAATACATGTAAGATAAAGATGCTTTGATTAATAAATGTAAGATAAAAATACTTCTAAGTGTAAGTGAGACTTGTAATGCACATGAGATAAAGATGCTTTGATTGAGAGTTGTAATATAAAATAAAATAGCTACATATGATTTAAACACCAGGATACATGGGAGGTAGTCCATGTCTTTGTTTACTTTGATTTACCTTCTTTCTTCTTTCAGTCTCTACTAAGTACTCCCTCCACATATCTTCTGCAATTTGATCTCTGAGGTTTTTAGCATAGCTATTACCTTCAGCAGTACTACCAAATTCTTGAAGATAACCAGATTGTTCTTGAGTAGGCGCTTCCGTAGTTTCTTGAGGGTCGGGAATGAATCCTTCTCCGAATTGAGGGAATTCTTCAGCTGAACCTTTTGGATCTTTAACACGAATGAAGTTGTGAATGAAGCACATAACAGTGACCATTGAAATTTGAATCTTGATGGTGTATTCACACCCGTGAGCCATGATTTTAAAGCGCTTCTTGCAAACTCCAAAGATACACTCAATAATGTTACGTGCGCTAGCATGTCGAAGATTGAATAGTTCTTCTTTATTCATCGGTCTAATATGGAAGGATAGGAGTGGTGAGAAGAAGAAAGACAGAGAAAAGTATGAAAATGATGGAAGAAAAAGAAATCTCACTTGAAACCTTTCTTTTCCCACTCTTGTAAATGATAACAGACTTTTTGAAAAGGAACAATACAATCTTCAGTGAGAGCAAAGCCAGCATCACCGAGATAATATTTTCCGGCGGGGATAGTAAGATCACGACTTTGAGCCAAAGTCCAAAGAGCACCATCGGCCATACTTCCTTCAGCTCCAACCAATAAATAAATAAATTACATGTTGAAATTGCACGCAGCAAGGACGTTCTGAGATGTGTAGCCTTTACAATTAGAGAAAGGAATGAATTCGGAAGCTGGCGGAGTGACCGGAATGTGTGTAACGTCAATTGCACCGATGCAGTCTTTGAAATAAGGCATGAACTTTGGATTCTCGGAAAAGGTATCTGCAAGAGCAGTGTTGGCATTGGGAAGAGGAATATATTTGCTGAGTAAATCTCCGACGTTGGAAATTCCTTTAATAAGGAGATTGATTGTCCTAGCCGAAAGAGATAGTGATGAGAAAATTTGAAAAGAAGCAAAAAAAAAAGCGAAGAATGAAAGATAGATGAATTACTTAGAAATAGTATCAGCAGATCTTTGAAAACGATTTTGAAGTTTACGATTAGAAAGGCCGGTGATGACAGTATAAATAAGGATAGCCAACTTCTCAGTTCCGGTGATCCAACGGGAGTCATATAAAATTCCAGTTCCTTCAAGTACTGAACGTAGTTCAAAAAAACAGATTTGTTCATTCCAAGATTATCATAAAAAACTGAGTTATTTGGACTAGCAATAAGCTCATCAATCCAAGCCTGACCGCTGAGGATGGAAGTCAGACGCGGATTTTTGGTGAGATGAGGCAGGACTTGAGCTGCACAGGCCTGCACACCCATGCTAAAGTAGCAAAAGATTTGAAATTGTTGCTGTTGAACAGCAAGGAGCGTTTGAGAAATTGCAATTTAAGCAACTTTTGATCTTTTGCGCGCTTTTCAGGTGTGAGAGACTGAAGGGATGAGCAAGAACGACGCTCCATGATGCTTTGATTTACGTGAATTGAAGTCTGATGATACAGAACAATGATTTTGGTCGTTGATGACCGTGATGGACGGAACAAAGGATTTTAAAATGATTTGATTGACTTTCAAGTTTCAATCGAAAGACTCTTTTCATTTCAACGTTACCAAACAGTCAAACGGTGATCAATGGTCAACGATGATCATTTTGATCTTTCGTTGACCGTTTTTGACCTTTACCGTCAAAAAATTGTTTTTGTGTAACGATTTTTTCAAAAACCAGCCGAACGGGCCCTAAGACTTCTTCAAAGAATTTTTGTGAGGTTGTATTATGAGTTAGCAAGAGAATTCACAAGGATCACGAGTTGGTGAGGAATGGGCCAAATAAAAGTATTACAAGGAAATTGAACCTAAAAATAATCATAAGTCCTTGAGGATTGGAGCCAAGGTGAACAGACCGCAAAGAAGGAAGACAGAGAAGTGGTTATGCTTTTTAGGATACGCATGAACAGAACCCCATAGTTATCGATCAAACTTCAAATGGGTTGGGAGATGCTCAAAAGTGTGACTTACATGTATTCTGACTGTTTCTGATCAATATTCCTGAAGAAACGACGGATGGTCACCAGAGGACAAGTTTTTTGCAGCCTTTCAAAAATCTCCTTTGCTTGTTGAAAGCTATTGCATGCAAAGCTTTCTTTTCAAAAGCCTAAATTGTACAAACTGTGAAATTTTGTGTTCAGAGGTGATTATGATCAAATATTTTTGAGCCAGGATTTGGTGTTTTCAAGAGCAAGTGTATGATCAGTGAGTGAAGGATGAGGAAAGAGATCAAAACAACGGGTTTTGATGTAACACCAAAAGAGCTCAATTGGGTTGAGCTTGCAATGGGATTTGGGCAGAAACATGTAGTGATGTCCTGCTTCTTTGATTGTCATCTGGATGAGTGGTTTCTCCCCTGAAAAGTCAGATTGACTCGAGAGAATCTTGAAGGTGCAGCAGTCAGAGATCTGCTCTGCTGGAACTGGTTGCTTGGCGGTGTTTAAATCTTGTTCAAGAGGCTTTTCAGCTTGCTTGATGAGAAGCTCAGCTCAAGAAATAGCATCTTTTGCTAGACCGCTCTTCTTGCAATCAGCACACTTGAAGACAAGTGGTTTCAGACCATTTGAGCAGCGGGATTGATTATAAAAATCCCATAAACGACGTTCGATGAGCACTTGGTTTGCTCCTTTCGCCTTCCCAGCTAGTTTTGAGTTGTTATAATCACTCGGATAACTCATGCTTTGAGTGTTTCTTCACAAGTGGACAGGTATGTTGGGATTGTCACTTAGGGTTGTTGTATCTCAAAGATGAGGTTGTATCCCTCCTGAACTCATATTCATGTTTTGTACTCAGAGAGAATGGGGACCAAAGGACTGGTGGGCTGACAAGCAGTCAGATACAAATAGGGCTTGTGCATCTGGATGGATGGCTTTGAAGATTGGAATTGCTTGAGTCTTGACTTCTTCAATCAACTGACATCATGGTGCAAAATCTGGTTTTGTTTTTCACCAATGTTTCTCTGCTGAATTGGATAATCCAGATATTACCGAACCTATAAAAACACTTTTTTGGTTGGGTTTGACCACTGTGGCAGCAGAGTTTGTTCAAGAAATTAGTCAATGATTCTCAAATTGGCTGGAATTTCACACTTGACCTGAGCCCAAGGGGAATCACAGGGACAAAGATAGATGCTCACATTGGGGTGAGCATTGAAATTTTCTTGTTTTTATTTCAAAGTTTGTTCAATTTTACTTTCAAACTCTTTCCCTTTTCTTCCTCTTTTCTTCCTGCTTGTCAACTGATTTGATGAGAAACAGGAACTGAGCAGATTAACTAGGGCTTCCTCAGACATCATTCCTCAGCAAAGAAGCCTGAGGGAGGGCTGGCCCATTTTCTCACTTCACCTCAGCCCCCCAGCTGATCCTCAGTGGTATGCCTTGGAGACTGCTGATCTGGGATTTCAGACAAGGTTCTGAGCTGTTCTGAGTACTCGTCTGAGACACTGAGATGGAAATGAGTATTCTCCAGCATTGTAGAACAAAATTTGAGTAAAACAGCCTGATCAGCAATCAAGTTGACTTATGCTCTCAATTCATCTTACCTCACTTCTTCACATCCATCATAACTTAAACCAGTGCATAAACCAAAATCTATAAACACCCAACAAACCTCAACAAATCTACTAAAAGCCATCAACAAGTCAATATACCCAAAGATTCTCTTACAAAAGCTACAGTTGTTATTTTTTTTTTGAAAAAAAGTAAGGAAAAAAACAGATTAAAAGTCAAATTTTCAAAAGAAAGAAAAAGAAATCAAAAATCATATATAAAACAAGATTTAAAAAACAACTCAAAGTTACATTCTGGAGAAAACAAAATCAAAATCATCATCATCATCATCATTGTCCAAAGAAGAATTATAAAACTCATAAAATAAAAAAAAGGGTTTCTTTGTTAAAGTATATGTATATGTAAATTTCTATTTATTTAAACAAAGTCACAATATACCACCAAAGAAAAAAAAACAATTATACAATGTAAGATATATATAAATTTAAGGAAAAATGTCTTTCTTGTTCATGTAAAGGAAAAAAAAAATCAAAAATGAATTATAAAACCAAAATAAGTGAAAAAAACAGAATACAAGAAATTAAAAAATCAAGGAAACAGAATTCGATCAAGTTGAATCCAAAAAAAGTAAAATCAAATCAAATGAAATGAAATGAAATAAGATGATCTTTCATTTCTTTTTTCTCTTAATGAAGTATACCTTTTAATTCATCTTGAAATCCTAAACTTTCAGCACAATCTACAATACTAGCCAAAAGTGAATCCAAATCCAAATGATGATCAGCAGGATCATCCAAAGACGTATCCCCACGTTGACTAAAAGCATCATGATTTCTTTGATTAATAGTATAATCTTTCCTCTTAATTTCATCTCTACTCCTATTTCCATTCCCATGACTCAAATCATTAATAGAAGGATTAGAAGAAGAAGATGAGGAAATGATATTAAAACTACTAGATCGTTTACTAATCTGATTCGAAAGTGGTGATCTGATCCTAGGATGAAAATGATAATTTAAAGATGAATGACGTTTAGGTGAAAAAGAAGATGAATCGGTTTGTAATCTAGAAAGAATAGGTGTGTTTGAATTCAATAAGAGTGGTTTAAGACTTAGATTCGAGTTGGGTCGTGATTTGGTTTCCAATTCGGGTGAGCTTGGGAGACCTGATCTTTCGGTTGAAATTGATGAACTTGAGAATCTTTTTTCTACATTCTTGGGGTGTTCTTCTATACCTCTTGATGAAGTAGTAGAAGAATATGATACTCTAGAATTCGATCTGCTCAGTTCTTCTTTACCTGGTTCTTTCATTTTCATACCCTCATCTTCCCTACTTCCTTCTTCATCTACGTCCGATTGACTAGTACCTCGTTCTTTATTATGATCTTGATACCATTCAGTTAAATCTAAATCAGCTTCAGGACTGTAGGTTTGTTCGACTTCACAATTCGAATTTGATATCGTATCATTATTGATAGGTTTGATTAGTTTTGAAAACCGGTTCGATAGTCTAGGACTAATGAAATTCATAGTTTCAGGTGAGTTTAATTTAGAATTATTAATCTTGGACTCATCAAAAGTTCGTTCTGGGGTCTTGATCATACTTGGTTTCTTCTTCTTAGGCGTGACTGTACAAGACGCAAGGGTATGATTGGAATCCATGGAATTCTTAGATTCTTCAAATTCTCTAGTCTCATGATCAATTGGTTTACCGATTTGATTCTTTAATTGATTTAATTCATTTTCCAATTCAACAAACTTCATTCTTTCATCTCTCACCATTCGATTAGCTTCTTCAAATAATTCAATCGATAGTTTTTCAAGTTCACCTTCGATTTGTCTTTTAGATTCATTCACGTTTTCTAAAGAAGATCTTAATGATTGGTTTTGACGTTTGAGTTGATTGGTTTCATATTTAAGTTTTTCAATTTCATTTAAATTAGATGAATTGATTGAAGAAATCGATGTGAATGATGATTGTGAAGAAGCTGATGAACAATTAATTAAAGATGAAGATGAGGATGATGATAAGTTTAAAGGTGATGATAAGGGTGATGGTGATGGTGGTGATGATGAGGTAGGTTTGATATTCGTGAATGTAGACCTTCTTCCGAACCTAAATAAATTCAAACGTCCATAGATTCCTACATCAGGTTCACTGTCTACTCTATCACGTCTTTTAGATTGATTGTTGGTACTGGTAGTAGGTGATGGTTGTGGTTGTTGTAGCTTTTGAATCACTTTTTCCAAATCATAAACTGTTGATTGAGCAAGGATTAAGTTAGATTGAGATATTTTGAGATGAGATGAAAGTTCAAGTTGAGCTAGAGATGAAGTTTGAAGTTGATTAGTCTGGAAATGTGATATGATCGTATAAGTTAGTGATATGGCTATTTGGAATTGGTAGATTGAAATTGGAACTGACCAAAGATTGAATGAGAGAAAGTAATCGATCTAAAAGATGATAGAGTTCAGATGGATCTTGAGTCGGTAAAGAAATTGAATGATGAAGACCTTTGAATTGAGTATTTGAAGAAAGAAACGATTGAATGATTGAAATGAGTGAATGATCTTCTGGTGAGTAACCAAAAGTGTTGAGATTGATTTGATCAGTTGTAGAAGTGATTAAGTTGAGAATCGGTTTAGTTGAAGTAGTCATTAGATTTCTTTATATTAAAGTAAGTCAATTTATAAATTCAAATCAAATGAAGTGGTTCTGGTTCTTGAAGTTCAACTTGAAGCTGAAGTTCAAGAACATTACCAAAGTCATTTTCTCAATTTAACAGTTAAGTCTACTTAAGTATCATTAAGTCATTTAATTTAACCTTTTCTTTTTTTGCACTTCTCCATCCAATCGAACCTTGCATTCTCATCTGCGGCAATACCTATCTAGATTTTTAATAGCTCACTAAATCTTTTCCGTTTGTTTCTTTAAATTAAATCGTCAAGTATTTTTTAAAAGTAAAAGGATATGTTCCAACTAGACCAAAACTTCCCGTGTAATCAGGGAAGCTTGCATTTCTTCGAGGGGGGGTCTCAGCGCTGAGGGGAGTATGACCACCTCATGAGACGTAGATGGGGAAGCTCTTCCCCATGGGCCATGAATCGGGGTGACGTCATGAGCCCGTGATATCCCATCTCCGGTGGCCTGTGTCCGACCCAGAATCCGGTAAACCACCCCAACCTTGAGCCTGAAAAATCAAAACCCTTACTTTGTCTCAAGAATTGGTCAATCTGGGAAACTCAACTACATCTGATAGTTGGAAATTAATCACATGCAAGTGTAGAGTGGCAAAAGGACATAAGAATGCAAGAAAACATGATTGGATTTTTCCAACAACACAATGTTTTCATTATAAGCAGCAATCCAGGTAGGTGTCACAGTTTGAAAAATAGCTACACTTCAAGTTCTAGTCACATACAGGTGAAGACATCAAAAATAGAAGGGGGGACAAATCAAGAAATACACTCATGGGTGGAGGCATGCATCAACAATATGCAGTGGACTACTTTGATGGCAACTTGATGACTTGAGATATAAGAAATTTGTTTGAAAACAATTCTGATTGAGGCTTACTTTGCCTGTCCTCCACCAATTCAATGTTTTGATCCTTGGTTTATGCTCTCATTCTTGATGCCCATCATATGTTCTTTATGCACAACAGATCAGTTGGCACAATCCTGGTGTGTGTAATGGTGTAGGTAAGCAACAAAGAGGTCAAAGGCTATTACCCACCCACCAAAGGACATCTTCCACTTGCCTGGAACTGGCAATATACCAGCATAAGTCTCTTCTATTTTTTCCTTTGTCATTTGTTGGCAAAAAGATTGTTACATATATTTAAAACCTCAGCATTTCTTCATACAAACTGAGTTTGATCTTCTTCTTTGCTTTAAAAGATATCAACTTGTTCAAATTCACTTGTACCCAACCAGCCTAGACACTTGGTCCTTGCCACTTCAATTTCCAAAAACCCTCACACAGACCCACCATGAGTAACTCAAACCTACCTCAACAATCCACTTCAACTTCAACTTCATCAGAGACTATTGATCAATACCCAAATCCCATCCCACCACCCAAAACCAATAAAACATATCCAACCCGACAATCAATTTCAGAATACTTACAAGAGTTTTCATTAAAGCATGGATTCGAAATCACAATCTTAGATTCAAGACCAAGTTTTGTATGTTATAAATTGTATACATGGTCCAAATGGACATCAACCCAAACCTTGTAAAACTAAAACTGTTCATTTAAAGTGATGCTTCGTCGGGATAAGATTTCATTTCAATGGAAACTTGAAATCATTAATCCTTTTCATGATCATGGTCCTTCTTCTATAAAACTTCGAAAACGTTCATCTCAAGTTCGATTGATTGATCAAGCAATCAAACAAGACTTCATTGAACAATCTGATTCGGATCATCAAACTTCACCTTTGCCAGATACTCAACAACTAGCTGATCGGTATGATCCCTTATTCAATCGAATCAAAAGTCTTCCAGAACATACTCAAGAGTACTTACTTGAGCGAATTATTCATGATTGTCAACTCGCACGAGACCTTCAAAACTTACCCCAAAACTAATGATAATCTCCATCAGAGTATCTTGACCCAATCCTTACAATCCCAAAAGAATAATTTCCGTAGATCCTGAAAAATGCCCTTCTAGAGCCATGATCATTGTCTTTCAAACCAAACCAATTAAAAACCAAATAAAAAAACTAAAAAAAACCAGATTAAAATGAACTAAACCAATCAAAACTGAAAATCAAAACGAAACAAATTAAACATAAATATAATTGAAAGGACCCTTAACAGTTGACATCAATTCATTTAACTTTACTGAACCAGCATTGTATCCTAAATCGATGAAATCATCTAAACTTGCTTCGGGTGAAGGAGGATTATTAAACATAGTCTTAGTACCGGATATTGAATATGTTCTTTGATTTGGATTTAAGTTTTGCCAGATCCACCATACTTTATCTACCATTGCATGGTGTAAGAAAAACATTGGTTCACCTGGTGAAACAAAAATATCCTATAAACCCACCACACCCGACCGAAAGAAAAACAATCAGAAAAACACAAAATCATGGATCAAAAATGTTTTTTTTCTTTGAAAGAAATGATTGATGACTTACACTAGAAGGATCACCACCAAAAACAAAATGACCAGCTTGATGTAAACTCATAAGATCTTGCTGATTATTAACTTGTAAATCATTTTGAAAGATACCTATGGATTGACTATTTAAAATTAATTTTAATATTAAAGATTCACTTTGATAATTTTTGGCAATAAAATCAGATAAATCTCGTGTAATACAACGTGGATTATAATCTAATGGGTTTTTAACTAATGGTCCTACATTGAATAATGGACCGATCGGACCTAAATTCACCGTCATACTTATTTCCCCCCCGCCCAAAAAAAATGTAAACATCAGTTTTTTAGATTCTAGTTTTTGATTACTGAAGTCAAAGGAAAAGATGGAAATGATTTACTTTAAAAATGGACCTGATTTAATACATCCACCTCCTTGACCATTTGAAAGTTTAATAGAATGACGATTTCCAAAAACGAATTGTATTTCTTCCCTTTTTTTAGGAATCCCATTGGATCCTAAACTATCTTCTTGACCATTAAAATCAGGTGAATTTAAAATATCTTGAGACGTTCGTGCCCAATTCCAATACTTTAAAAAATCCCAAAAACAAATCAGATTGTTTTTTTCGAAGAGAGAGAGGGAGGGAGAGGGAAACACTAGGCTTAACTGGTTGGTAACCTTTATAACCACATTCATCTCTTAAAGCTTTTTCAAAAATATGTATAAAGTACCTATGCCAAGCCAAAAAATTACCCTATACATTCCAAACGCCCAAAAAAATCATTGAATTAGAATAAGATTTCATGATTCTGAGTGAAGAAAAAAAGAAGAGGATTTTTGTTGTTGTCTTGGTTTTAAACTTAACTGTACCATGAATTGTAAAAGTTTGATTAATATGAGTTACAATAAAATCATCATATCGGGATTTAGCTCCAGGTGCGATTTGATTAGGTGTGATTGAAGGTTTAGATTTTAAACATAAAATCGAATTTGTATAATCAATTCTTTCTTCTTTACTTAATGACATCCTAACCTCCCCCCGCCACAAAAAAAACATGATATCAATTTAGGGTTTTTTCTTTCCGGGTTTCTTTTTTAAGGTAAGGTTTTTTTGGAAGGGGAAAAGGGAGTACTTACCATTCCTTTCGTTTATTAAGATGTTGAGTAGAATCAAGTTTATGATACTTTTTTTGATTTCGAATAGCTTTAAAAGTTAATTGATTTAAATTTTGATTTGAATGAGGTAATGAAGTTTGAATCGATTTTACAAAGAAACAAAAAATCGGTAAAATTAAAACCGTTTTATAAATCATACATCTTTTCATTCTTTTTGAAGAACAATTAGAGGCTGGCTGACTAGCTGATTGATCAAAAGGGATTCTTTTGAACGAGTTAAACTTGAATATTTTTGTTTTCTTCGCTTCCAAACCAAAATGTTGAGTAAAACTTATAAAATCTTTCTGGTTTTTCGAATAAAAGTGATCAAGGGTCTTTCAAGTATTTACTCGAGTGAGAAATCCCAAAAACAAAAAAAAAGGAATCAAGACCATATCAACCAGAGACGCATTGGTATAGTATATAGTATATAGTATGGTATCTACGCGCGCGCGCCGCCTCTTTCTTTATGTGGTGGCTGATCGAACGAAATTGCTAAGTATATAAGGTACATGTATCTGGTATGTATGTATGGTATCCGTATCCACGAAGTAATTGTGGCTTTATCTTTGAGCGGTCTCTTTAGTCCACATTTTTATTGAACAGTGCTTTTGGTGAGAATCAAATCGCTCAAATGCTAAGGTTGGGGGTGGTACGTTCAAGGTGAAAGGAAACTTTTAAGGGAAGAAATCGTTGAAGGATGATTGATCTTTATGATTTTTTGACTCCATGAGGTACTACTAATTCAAAGCTTTGGAGAACATGATTAGCCTTGGAATCACCCATTTGAGGAATAAGAAACTTGATCAAGCGTCTTGGTTTGCAATTATTCCTAACAAGCAGATTACACCAAAGATACGAAGTTTGGAAGTTTCTCACACATCAAAAAGCTTCATCAACACTCATGAATTGAAAATCGGAGAACACCACGGTGATCATCACATCCCAGGCATCTCAAATTTCAGCTCCCGAAACGTTTCGCATGCAAGTATCTGATTCCTGCAGACGTCTCAAGTTCAACCCGAGCGCAACATGTTTATAGAAATGCTACTTTGTCAATTTCAGTTAACATTTCTTAACCACCTCATTCAAGAAACGTACTCCAATTTCTCAAGCTTAATCAAACACTAACAAACAATTTATTCATTTCTTTATATTTTTAATTTAATTCAGTTTTATTTAAAAACATTTCACCAGATATATATAATACAAACAACAAAAAAGCCTAAAAATCTTCAAAGAAAAAAATCCTCTTCGATCTCTAAAAAACTATCAAATTCACATTTAATCAAAAGACTAATCAAAAAAAAAACTTGAAACAGATTCTTCCATCCTTCCAATCCATCCGTGTCCATATAATTTTTTTGTTAACAAATATATCCTTCCTTCCTTCCTTCCTTCCTTTCTTTCTTTCTTTCGGTTTGCCAACAAACCCAACATATATAAAAATGTGGATAAATGTATGATCAAGTATAATGTAATATGTAATGTAATAAAAATAAAAAAAATCATATAAAATGTAATTGATTAATAAAGATTTCCAAACATCTTTCTTTTTTTTTGGGTCTTTTTTCTCTTTTTAAATGATGGCTACATATCTATGTATAAAACTTGAATCAAAATGTAAAAAAAATCAATCAATTGAAATGTAGAGTATAATTTTTAAATGATAATGTAAACCGTAGTATATAGATATGTAAAAAAAATTGGAAACCTAATAAATGTTCAATAATCGATTTTAGGAAAGTATCTTTCGTTTCTCGATTTTTTTTTCTTTATTGCCAAAGGGCTCGAATAGCTTGCCAAGATGATCCAGGACTATTAGCAGAGTTATTAGAGGTACCTTGTCCAAGATCATCACCGTCTCCAATACTAATCCCAACACCTAATCCTATCAAAAAGTTGAAAAAATCAACTTCCATTCTGTCGTACAATGGCGTAATTTTGGTGAAAAACACTGACCAGTTCCAAAGACATTGTGTTGTAAAGAAGGAGATGGATCTCCCATTGAACAACTCCTTCGTCTTCCACCGTTGCCTAATTCTAATGAATTCCATTCTTTTTTAGCTTCTTCTTCTTGTTCTAATTGATGTTGTGGTATTGAATTATCAAATGGGTTTCGTCTATTTTGAATTGGTAACGGTAAAGGATCGGCTGCTAACATCGCAGCTCTTTGTGCGTTCATTGCCATCATTGCCTGATTTTTTCAAAAAAAAAGATGGAAGGTTGGGTTAGTTGGATATAAGAGAATACGGAAAAGTTTCATAAATTAACTCAACTCCCACTGAATCGTTCCCATCAGCAAATGGAAAACATCTCATACAAACTTTTCGTCTTCTCCAGTTCACAAATCCGCACATACACTAAAAAAAATCAATCACAACATTATTAACCAATTATGATATATATATCTATAAATTTCAAAAAATTACTTACCATCCAATCACCAGGTTGAGGAATCATAGCACCCGAGTTACCAGTGTTGACCACAGGTGGTTGAGTCTTTACAGTTTTCCTAACTTCTTCCGGTTGAACTTGACCAGGTAAAGGAGTATTGATCGTAGGAGGTACAAAAGTGGTGGAAGCCTTAGGTTTGAGAATAGTCGATTGAGGAGGAAATGAAAATGCACTTTTGGTAGGAGATGCATTGTATAAAGTTGGAGGCTGAAAAACTGTAGGAGCTTGAGTAGGAAAATTTGGAGGATTTGAAGTTATTCTCAAGTTATGAAACATATTGTTAAGTCCATTCGGATTGGTAGTAGAAAGTTGATTGGGAAAAACTGGTGGAGTCCCGTTAACTGAAAACAATTTTTCAGATGGATGACGAGGATGAAGTGGTGGATAAGAATCATAGGGAGATTTAACCATGAGACGAGCTCGAATGGCATCTCTTTCGCGATCTGCAATCGATTTCTCTTTGATAGGAGATTCTTCAATATGTCGGATAGGAGAGACTACTCTAGTTCTTTCTAAGATGTCTACATCAGATTTAAGAAGATTGGAATTTTTGTTTGGAGATGATCTTAGTTGAGGATCACCATCTGGAATAGTAAGACGAACAGGTGAAGCTGGTGCGAGACTAAAAGGTACAGAACTAATAGAAGTCGGATCAAATGGATGGGTTTCAGAAGTTGAACGAGATTGAAGATCTTTTGGTCCTGGTGAAAGTCCAAATGGAAGTTTATCAACTTTGAGACTATTCATATTGTTTGGTGAATATTCAGATCCTTGAAAACGCGAATTACTACAGGTAGCCAAAAAAAGTCAATCAAAGTGAATATCAAATGTTTTTTCGATAGGGAGTGGAAATAAACTTACTCAAATGAAGCCGTATGATTAAGTGCAGTCTTTGAAGGTATGTCCCATCTGGAATAATTATTGGAATGGTTATCAAGTTGACGATGAGGGTGATGAGGAAGACCAGATTGGAGTCTAGAGTCTTGAAAAGGAGCTGAAGTAGGCTGGTTCGGAGGGGATGAATTGATAGAGTGGTGAAGGTCATGTTTGATCGTGAATTGCTTTGCAGGAACTTGATGTTCATCCCAGGCTCTATAATTAGGTGTAGACTGATGATCGATTGAATGTTGAGGAGATGTAGTTTCAATCAGACGAGGTTGAGAAATGGTCGAATCAGGTGAAGTTGGATTGCCTTGATATTCCCATTTGAAATGATGTCGCACATAAGGTGATGAATTCTTTTGATTGAAGTTAAGACCGGGTGGTGGGGTAATGGGACCAAATGGAGAAGTAGGAGTATTAAGAGGTTCGGCAACTTGATGTCTGATATGATGAGAATGATTTGAAGGTTGAATCTGTTGTAAGTTTTTGGCTTGTTGATTTGTGTTAGGAGAACCTTGAAAAGAGTAATTAGGTGAACTCAAATCTGCTTTAGATTGGGTTTGTTGATTTCGAGTTGAGAGTGAAGAAGAATCCGTGAAGTTTTCATCTTCATCACCAGATTCGATTTGTTTTTGAAGAGGATGATTAGTTAATTCTAATTCACTTCCACTATCACTATTGATATCAATCCAACCACCACCTCTAGCAGCTTTCATACCTTGCTTGAGTTTTTCCAAGACGTGATCAAAGCTTTGACCGTTCAAAGGGCCACAAAGATCGAGAAGTTGATGATGATGAGAAGTATCGAGAGTCTTAAGATTGTTATTAGGATTATTGGCGGTAAAATGGGTCAAAAGAGGACTAGTATTGATAGTATGATGATGATGATGATGATGATTAGTGTTGATGTGAGGGATATCAGAAGTCGAGTTAATGATAGAGTTCTTATTATTAATGAGTTCAGATTGGATTGATGGATGAGAAGTGGGGATAAGTTGAGTGGTCAAAGATGAGGTGAATGGAGACATGGTAATTGGTAAACAAGAGATTTAAAGAATAGAATAACACTTTTCTTTTCTTTTCTTTTTTTTCGAAAAAAAACAAAAAACAAAAACAAAATTAAGATTGAAGTTGGATTAACTTGAACTTGGTAAAGAAAGATGAAGGGGAAAGAGAAGAGAATTGGAAGAGTAGTGGAAATTAAATGAAGAAAAGCTGTAGAACAGAAAACAAAGTTAAAGTCTTATCAATCAATCAAATCTTGTAAACTAAAACTTAAACTATCACCAAGAGATAGAAATAGAGATAGAAGAGATCTTGACGATGATGAAGGTTTTTAAGATCAAAAGAGGATGATGATTAGATTATATATCTTTTGGTGGGCTAAGTAGAGATTATTTTAATTTTAATTTTAATGATGATATAGAGTGTGAAGAAATTGATTGAGAATGTTGATGGTGATGGATGAAATCGAGGAAATAAGAAAACCAAGTTCTGGATCAGTCAACAATTAAATTTGGGTTTCAAGAGAAAATTATTGGGAAATTAAGAACGCGATGGAAGGCTTCAAGTGAGAGATCTTATTAATGGCAAAGTAGCACTTGAGTAATTTTGATTTTGAGACTGTAAGGATGATGATGCAAGCTGATGGATGATTTATAATCAACTTGACTGAATCTTACCGAGTCAAGTGGATTCGGTCGATGAATTACCAAGCCGATGATGTTATATGATGATGATAACTTTTAGTTTACTCTCAACTCGATTCAAACACACACACACAGAGAGAGAGAGAGGGAGAGGGAGAGATCTGATTTGATCCGATGAGTTGGGAGATAGGAATGCTCAGTTACTAAGGAGAAATGGATGAGTGAGTCTTAAAGAGGATGATGGATGATGGATGATGAAGAGATGATAAGATGTTATTAAGAGACTTGAACCGATAAGAGAATGATTTGATGAGCATTGAAATCCAGATGATCGTGTCAACTTGCAATAATTGGATTTTAGTTTGAGATCATCATGACTCATGAGTTTCTGATTCGAAAGTTGAAAGTAAACAAACTTAAAATCTCATGAAAACATTTCCTATATCAACCTATCAACCTATCAACCTATCAATCAAATAACAAAGAGACACCTAAATTATTTATTACAAACAATCATCTTTCATTTGTTTTTTCAAAGAGATTGATTGATGAAAGAGAAAAAAGAAACACATTCAAAGCTCATCGTTCAATCAGTCATGAAATGATGATTAAAGTATTGGTGTATCGCGTCAAGTTAAAAATTAGTCAGCTTTCTTTCATCATCAATTCAATCCGGGTTTTTTTCTCCCTTCGTCTTAAAAGTCTGAATGATTTGAATCTTCAATTAAAGTATCCATCTTATCCATCCAATGTATCCATTCAGGAAAATGTCAAAAATAATCCAAACTAGTGGAAAGAATACATTCACAAGAGAGAGAGAGATCCGAATTGTGATCAGCGATGATTTTGCGCTTGGATCTCGGATCGATCTATGATGATTGATCAAAGTCATGTACCGATCCAATCTGTGATTCGTATGGTATAAGGTATATGTACTCACAGATTCATTTTTCACTTCGCCAAAAAGACATTCGATCAAAAAGAGATATGTCAAAATCTTAAATCACCCGATTAAGTTCATGTGGGTACAATAGCAATTGCGGAGGTGATTTTTTAAATTTGAAAAAGTCTATACATACGTACACGGTACTTTACGATATTTGGAAAGATCTGGTTTACACCATTCAAACAACAGATTACAAAGTTGTGGTATGTATTGCGGAAATCATTCTGTAAGTGGTTAGTTTCTTTGAAACGATTCATTCACAGAGTTGATTAAGTGATTAAGAAAGTTTGACTGAAAAAGAAAATCAAATCGTTTGAATCACTTTGAGAATGGAAAGTTAAAAAGAGAAGAGGAATGGGTAAATATTTGGTCTCGAAGCGATGTTCCATTCGATTGAAGGAAAACTTTCAAATTCATGAATCTGTTCATCTAATGATTGATCATGAATGTTGATTTAGAAGAGAGACACGAAGAAGCTGATTGGCTTGGCAAGTGGATACTATTCTAGTGAGTTTCTGTCATTTGAGGGTGCAGGTAAAGGTGGAGGTCAAGAGAGCAAAAGAAACAAACAATGCCGGTCTCCAGATGCCAATTCAAGGACTAGAACCATTTCCATCACTTTATTAACCTGTCAAGAAAAGTCCATTGAGGTTTGATTAGTCTATTGAGCTCCATTGAGGGTTGATACAAGGGGTTGATTGGGGAGGGGAATTCAACACTTGAACGTTTTACCTACATAAGTTGATCTTGTTGAGATTCTTTTCTGAGCGAGTCAACACATCCGGCTCAAGGCCCGGTGATAAACAAATTAATCGGCGAATTCGATTCTTTGGAGGTAAGTATCTCTTGATTTATTTCGTTGATTCCTCAAATACCTTTGACCTGGTTGAAAGCTTTTTGGATGCGGTGGCGCAAGGAATGGGTGTAATAAATTCCATGGATAAAGCGTCTTGGTGTGCTCTATTGTCCAGAAAGATCCAGAACCATGCTATGCAGACACAGGATGGATCAAAATTGAATATTCGACATTTCATCCTCCTGCGCCGATCTGACACGCTGATTCCTTGGGCCTCGCGACTCGCGAGGCGGGCGTGGGACTTTGTTAAGTTTACTAATTCCTGCCAGTTCCCAAAACAAAGTCTGACAGCGTGGTTCGAACTTGGGAGCGAACACTTCAGCAGGCTGCAGGCTCAAACCAGTGAGGCCGGCTCACAAGCTGCGTGGCACAGGCCGGGCCCCGAAGCCTACGCCCGAGTAGCGCCCAGGCTCCGCGACCGGGGTGCAGGGTGCGGGTCTGGTCAGCATATTTTGGTTTTTAAAAATCGGGGAACCCCGAAGGGTAGGGGCGCGGGGGACGTTTGTGTAAGTCACTCGAACCGCGGGTCGCCCACGGTTTTGGTGAAGAAACAGATTGATTACAATAAAAAACACAGAAAAAACATTCAATCTTCAGCTCCATTGTCAGTCTCAATAGCATTTTGGCACATCTTAAATCTGTTAGGAAAAAACATTGCCGCAAAATTTCAATACCACTCCTTGGGACATATAAGGATCTTCACACTCATAGCAGATAAAGAAGCTTGTTGAGGTCCTATGATGGCCTTGGTCTTACTAAAGGCTCCCTTGGATGGAGTGCTGCTAGCCCGAATGGAAACTTGCCATCTTTGAAAGTCCAGGTAAGGTGCCTTCTTTTCCCTTCCAATAAGTTAATACATCATTGCAAGAATGGTCACAGTCCCCCAAGTAGTGATTGATTTCACCTTCAATGGTCAAGTATGACATTGGTTTGTCACTTCCACAGATTGCTTTGGCCAAGCACCTTTGTCTTTGGTTGATTTCTTGGATTCAGGGTTTGTAGGGGCCGTAGAAAAGTTTGCAGCCATGTCAAAAAATAATTGCTTAAATTGGTTCAGAGTCATGTTATATCTAGCAAGAAAAATTGGCTTAATCTTAAAAAGACATGATTTTTGAATATATGTTCATTTTGCTTTGAAATGAAATTTCTTACCACAAAGAACTTCATCTTGAGGTGATGCTTCAAGATTGTTTTACAGACTGCTGCTGGTTTTTGGAGGTCATCTTCACAACACTTTTCAAGCTTCTTCAACATGTCCTGTGCTGCAGGTAGAAGCTGACTGTGGCCATATTATCTGTTGACCTGGAGTAGTATAAAGTAGATAAGACAATCAGCAAGATGGAAAATCTCTCAATACTCAGAGAAATAAGATGAAATGACTGTACCTCAAGCAAACTTTTGATGTTAATTGTTTAACAAG